GGGGAGGAAAAGGAGGGGGGTGCCCAGCCACCACAGCCTCTTCTCTCCACACTTCTCATTTTCCTTCTCTAGCAGTTTCACTCAACCTCTGTGTTGAAAACAACAACATCCCGGATGTCACGAACCTTCGCTGAGTTTGGAAATTGTTTCTAAAATTTCATGTGACATGTTTTACACGGTAATGAAGACAGTCTACCGAAACCTAAACAAGCTCTCACAGCCTGTGCAGTGGCCTCTGCCATCTGTGTGTATCTTCAATGGTGCGCATTTCAAAATCCCATTTCGAGGTGGGTTCTGGCTCTGGGAAGCCAGAAGTAGTTGTCAAATTCTTTAATTCCAGGCTCATAGACAGAAGTTATTTACAATTCAACGTAACAGCTAAAGCCCGGTACGGTCCTAAACCATCCGTCATATTCTGAATTTGGTGTTTACAAATATTTCAGAGGAAATCCATGTGTGTCTTTTGTTTTAAAACTTCTTTGCCTCAAGTTTCCAATGGCTTAGAGATTATATAAGGAATTTCCATTTTCTATTCTAATTCACATTTACAAAGTGATTTCACCTTTCATAATAAAGCTCCTGAATGAGGATAAAAAGTGGTTCCCCTCGTTCATGACAACTATGGCCATGTTTTCAGTTTCCTTCTCAGGCTGACTGTAATAAAAGGGCCAGGCGTGCTCCACGAGAGTCTCTGGAATTTTAGAAAAGAAACTAACTTTCCAGGTCGTCCCTAACTCATCCTGCCCTACCCATCCAAACACCATTATTTTCCATGTGTTGTCTGACACCAGGTTTTTATCAGAGATGTGTTCTGCAAATCTCTTCTCCCAGGCAGTGGCTCGTATTGTCATTCTCTTAACTGTAGTTTGTAAGGCATAAGTTTTCAATCTTCATGAAGTCCAACTTACCAATTTTTCTTTCATGAACAGTGTTTTTGGTGTTATATCAAAAACCCTGCTGCCAAACCCAAGATCACCTAGACTTTCTGCTACATTTCTATGAGTTTCATTATTATGCATTTTACATTTAGGTCTATGACTCATCTCGAGTTAATTTTCTTCTTTTTCTTTTTTTCCTCTTTTTTCTTTTTTTACCCCAAGAGACAAAGCTTTCAGAGTTAATTTTCTTGAATGGTGTATGCTCACTGTCTGGAGTCACTGTTGCTGGGGATTTTTGTATGTCCAGTTTTTCTAGCACTCTTTGTTGAAAAGAAATAGTGCTTTTCGGTCTGCCCTGAATTGCCTTTGTTCCTCTGTCAAAGATGGGTTGACTATCTGGGTGAATTTACTGGGTGGATCTACTCCCAGGCACTCTACGATCTTTCATTGATCTATTTGTCAATTCTTTCAGCAATACCACACTGCCTTGATTACTGCAGTTTTACCGTAAGTCTTAAAGTTGGCAAGTATCAGTTCTCCAACTTGGTTCTTCAATATTGTGAGGCTAGTCTGGGTCTTTTGCCTTTCCATTTAAATGTAGAATCAGTTTGTTGATATCTACAAAGTAACTTGCTGGGAATTTGATTAGATTGTATTGAGTCTATAGGTCAAGTTGGGAAGATTTGACATGTTAAAAACATGGAGTTTTCCCATCCATGAACATGGAGCATCTCTCCATTGACTCAAATCTTCTTTGATTTCTTTCATTGCAGCTTTGTAGTTTTTCTCATCTAGATCTTGTACATATCTTGTTAGATTTATATCTATCTAATTTGGTGGGTGGGGGGATAAATGTAAATAGTGTTGAGTTTTAAATTTCAAACTCCAATTGTTCATTGCTGGCATATAGGGAAGTGATTAATTTTTGAATCCTGCAACCATGCTATCATCGCCTCTAACATCCCGAAGTTTTTTTGTTATTGTTGGTTCTTCGGGATTTTCTACATAGGCAATCATATCACTCATGAACCAATTCTTATCTCTTCCTTCCCAATTTGTATGCCTTCATTCCCATTTCTACTCTTACGGTATTAGCCAGGATTTCCAGCATGATGTTGAAAAGGAACAGTGATGAGGGATTCCTTGCCTTTTTTCCAATCTTAGGGTGAAATCATCTACTTTTTCACCATTAAGTATGATGGTAGCTATAGGGCTTTTTGGAAATGTTCTTTATGAAGCTGAGGAAATTCCCCCCATTCTTAGTTTGCTGCAATGCATGAGTGGGTACTGAATTTTGTCAAATGCTTTTTCTGCACCTATTGATATAATAATGTGAGTTTTCTTCTTTAGCCTGTAAATATTATGTGTTATATTAGTTGATTTTGAAATGTTGGATCAGCCTTGCATACCTAGGATAAATCCCACTTGGTCGTGGTGTATAATTCTTTTTATACATTGAATTTGATTTGCTAATAATTCATTCAGAATTGTTGCTTCTATGTTCGTGAGAAATACTGGTCTGTGATATTGCCTTTCTGGTAATATCTTTTTCTGGTTTTGGTTTTAGTGTAATGCTGGCCTAATAGAATGAATTAGAAAGTGTTCCTTCTGCTTCCATTATCTGGAAGAGATTGTAGAGAATTGATTTTTTTTTTTTTTCCCTGAAATGTTTGGTAGAATTCATCAGTGAAAACATTTGGGACTTGTGCTTTCCATTTTGGAAGATTATTAATTATTGATTCCATTTCTTTAATTGATGTTGACTCACCCAGCTTACCTTGCTCCTTGTTTGAATTTTGGTAGATAGTGCTTTACAAAAAACTGGTCAATCTTATCAAGTTTATGGGTGTAGGGCTGTTCATAATATTCCTTTTAATCTTTTTATTAGCCATGCTACCGGTCGTGATGCCACTCTTTTATTTCTGATGTTTGGAATTTGTGTCTCTTTTCTTTTTCCCTTGTTTAGCCTGGCTAGAGCTTCATTGATTTTACTGATTTTTTTCAAAGAACTAGCTTATGATTTTTAAAATTTTCTCTTATTTCCTGTTTTCAATTTCATTAATTTCTGCTCTAATGTTTATTCATTCTTCTTCTTTTTTTTTTTTTTTTTTAGTTTCCTAAAGTTGAAGATTATTAATTTTGGATCTTTCTTCTTTTCTAATCTATGTAGTCAATACTATAAATTTCCCTCTAAGCACTGCTTTTCCTGCATTCCACAAGATTTGATAAGTTATATTTAAATTTTTGTTTAGCTTAAAATATTTTTATATATCTTGAGACTTCTTTGATTCATGTGTTATTTAGTAGTGTTTTGTTCACTTTCCAAATATTTTGGGATTCTCCAGTTAATTTTGTTATTTATTTATTTCTAGTTTAATTCTACTGTGGTCTGAAAGAATACTTGGTATGACTTCTATTTTTTGAGAATGCACTAAGGTGTATTTTATGGCCCAGAATGTGATCTGTCATGGCAAATGTTCCATGTGAACTTGAGAAGAATGTGGGGTCTGCTATTGTTAAATGAAGTATTTTACAAATGTCCACTAGGTCCAAGGGATTGATGGTGCTGTTGTGTTTAACAGTGGCCTTACTGATTTTCTGCCTGTAAAGAGAGGTGATGAAGTCTCCAACTATGAAAGTGGATTTTCTTTCTCTTTCCAGTTCTATCCATTTCTGCCTCACATATTTTGACCTGCTGTTGTTACAGAGACATTAAGAATTGTTTTGTTGTCTTGGAGAACTGTCCTTTGTTGTGATGCAATGCCCCCTTTATCCCTGGTAACTTCTCTTGTTCTGCAGTCTGCTTTGTCTGAAGTTAATAGACCTAATCTTGTGTCCCCTTGAGTAACAGCAGCATGGAAGCTCTTCCTCTGTCCCTTAAACCTGTATTTTTATATTTAAAGTGGCTTTCTTGCACACAATATGGTGAGGCTTGTTTTTCCTGTTTTGACAGTTTCTGTCTTTATCTGGTGAATTTAGACAGTTCACACTTAGAGGGATTATTACTATAGCTGGGTTAATATTTACCATGTTTGTAACTGACTTTTACTCCTTTCTTCATAGTCTTTGTTTCTTTTGTGACTTCTATTCTTTTCCTGCCTTCTTGGGTTTTAATCAAACATTCTATGTGACAATTTTCTCTCCTGTCTTAGAATATCAACTATACTTATTTTTTTATAATTACTTAGTGGTTGCGCTAGAATTTGCAATACACATGTACAG